GCAGCGTTTAACATCCTGCTTTGCAGAGGCTGCTGAGCTTTGTGGTCTGGAAGTCAGCTTGAAGAAGACAGAATTTTTATATCAGCCTGCACCTCAGGAAGCCTTCCATCATCCCCATATCACCATTGGTGAAACAGCACTCAAATCAGTCCAACAGTTTAATTATCTAGGAAGCATCATCTCCTCAGATGGTAAGATTGATGCTGAAATTGATAACAGGTTAGCAAAGGCATACAGTGCCTTTGCTAAACTCTGTAAAAGAGTGTGGCAAAACAAACACCTGAAGAAAAGTACTAAGATCAGTGTTTACAGAGCCATCGTGCTGTCTACTCTTCTATATGGTTCTGAATCCTGGGTCATTTACCGGCACCACTTGCGTCTCTTAGAACGCTTCCATCAGCGCTGCCTCCGTACAATCCTCAACATCCACTGGACTAACTATGTGACCAACACGTCTGTCCTTGAGCAGGCAGCAGTCACGAGCATTGAGGCCATGCTGCTGAGAACTCAGCTGTGCTGGGCAGGGCACGTCTCCAGGATGCAGGACCATCGCCTCCCTAAGATCATGCTCTGTGGGGAACTTGCCACTGGCTGCAGTGAGAGAGGAGCCCCGAAGAGGAGATACAAGGACTGCCTGAAACAATCCCTCAGCCTTGGCCATATTGATCACCACCATTGGTCTACCCCGGCCTCCAATCGGGAGGCCTGGAGACACACCATCTATAACGCTGCTGCTGCTTTTGAGAACACTCACAGGATCACTCTCGAGGAGAAAAGACAGCGCAGAAAGAATCGCGTCTTGTCGATATCACCTGAGGAGTCTTTCTGCTGTATGTTCTGCAAGCGGACTTGTCTATCTCGCATTGGCCTTTTTAGCCATCAGCGCGCTTGTAGCAAGCGTGGGTAGAGCCCCTCTCAAATCTTCGTTTGCGAAGCCCAGCCATGATGATGATGATGGCACTCCCGACCACCGACACCCCCTGCGGCCACCGCCGCATCGTCCCCGGCGCCCCGCACACCGGCCGTGCTGTCACACAGGGGACACACACGGCCCCGCCGGGACTGCCCCGGTGCTGCCCAGTTCCCAGGGAGGCAGCTGGGCTGCGGGTTGGGGTCCCCGCAGCAGTCCCGCTCCTGGGGACAGCCCCGCAGGGTGATCCCTGCGGCAAGGCGGGGTGAGCCACGGGCACATGGCAGAAGGAAATGGGTCCCAGAAGGCTGAGCCGTCTGGTTCCAGTGGGACCTGTGGGATCCCACTGGGGTCAGCTGTGGGATCCCACTGGGGTCAGCTGTGGGATCCCACTGGGGTGAACCGTGGGGTCCCACTGGGATGAGCTGTGGCGTCCCAGTGGGATGAGCCGTGAGGTTCCAGTGGGGTCTTGGGATCCCACTGGGGTCAGCTGTGGGGTTCCAGTGGGATCTGTGGAGTTGCACTGGGGTGAGCTGTGGGGTTCCAGTGGGATAAGCTGTGGGGTCCCAGTGAGATGAGCTGTGGAGTTCCAGTGGGATGAGCTGTGGGGTCCCAGTAGGATGAGCTGTAGAGTTCCAGTGGGATGAGTCATGGGGCTCGCCTGGGGTGGGCTGTGGTTCCCACCAGAGTGGCCCTGGAGCAGCACATGGGGCGGCCCCCTGGTGCAGGCGGTGCGTGGGGCAGGAAGCAGGGGCGGAAGCCGCAGCCCGGCACGAGGCTGTTCGCATGCGCCCCGTGGCCAGCCCAGCCCCACCATGGCAGCTCCTGCCACCTTCCTGGTGCCTGTCCTCTTCCTCCTCCTCTGTGGGCTGGGTCCCTGCCCTGCCGCTGCTGCCCACAGCCACCCAGGTAAGGGGGCACATGGGCCCATGGGGAGGTGGGAGGCCGCAGACCCCACTGCGGGTGGGGATGGAGCCAGTGATGGTGGGCGAGGAGGGCAGGGTGTGGGGCTGTGTGGGCTGGCGCGCTGTTGGGGGTTGCACCAGAGACCCTGCGACCCCCTGATGCCCCAGGCCCCCTGGCAACTACATGGCCCCTGGCACCTACACGGCTGCCAGGAGAGACAGGCTGTGCTGGGGAGAGCCCCGCTGGGTGTCCTTGCTCCCACCCCAGCGATGGAGCATTGCTGACACCACCAGCCCCATGGCTACTAGGCCTGCAGGGCTCCTGGCCCCATTACTGGCAGGCCCATGCTATCCATGGGTGCTGGCCAGGCTGGTGGATGTGCCCCAGCTGTCCTTTCCATCCTGGTCACATCAGCAGTGCTGCGCACAGGAAGGGGACGGGAGACGGCAGCTTGTCTTTCCACCTGGCACCCTCATCCCAGCCGTTGTTTTCTGGGAGAAAGTCCACCTCTTGGCTGGCTGTCAGCAAAACAACAGTTTTCTGTGGCAACACAGCCCCTCTGTATCCCTGGGCCTGCTGGGCTGCTGGGAAGGTGCCCTTCATCTTCACGTGCGGAAACAGCCAGAGCGCAGCCTGTTTGCTG